AAGAGAGGTTGAAGACTGAGAAGGAGGAAAGAGATATTTTACCAGATGGACAAGCGGGTTTTAGAAGAGGTAGGAGTACTAGAGACAATGTATACATTTTGTATCATGGTATAGAACAAAAAAGAAGGAAAGACGAGGGTAGGATATGTGAGATGTTCGTGGACTTCAAGGCAGCGTTTGATACCGTAGATATTAAAAAAATGTGGACACAATTAAAAGTGATTTGAATAAGTGAATAAATAGTAGGTATATAAGATATAAGAATTCTATACGGAAACGGAATGCAAGGTTAGAGTAAATGGGATTGAGAGTGAAATTTTTGTATACCTGTAAGGGGGTAAGACAGGAATATTTACTGAGCCCCAGCCTGTTTAAGGCTTAGAAGAAAAAGAGATCGAGGTGGTGAAAGAATTCAAATGCTTGGGATATACATTCACTCTAAGGGGAACCACTTAAGTCAACTGGCCAAAAAAAGGGGAATGAGGGATTTAATATTGTTTGATGTGTAGTTGCGAGGAAGCTTGGACATGATGAGACAAAGAGAATAATGAGGAAGTTTAACAGTCGGGTAAAGAGTACCTATATATGATGAATTAGAGAGAGTGCAAAAGGCAAACACCAGGATAGACTGTGAGAGAAGAATCTAAAAGGCATTAGTTAACAATACCTGATAAAAAGGGATTTTTGGGTTTCCAAGAAATGAGGGATTTTGCACTTTTTTGAAGATTGTAGGTAAGCGAAGAAAAATGTTGTTAGCTCGGTGGGAATCGAACCCAAGCCTCTCGCTTTCCGGGCAAGCATCGAGACCACTAGACCACGAGGCCACTTATCTTTCTTCGCTTACCGACGTGTTATTGTGCCTCCACAAAGATTTTAACCTTTTTTTGAATTAACAAAACTACACAAAACAAAACCTATAAGAACTAATACCTAGTGATTTATATTGAAGTACTATTATGTACTTATTATCTAGTACTAGTATCTATTATGGAATTAAAAATCCAGTGGTGGGAGTTGCGACCGGGAACATATTAGAGAAGTAAATAAACATTGATTAAAAAGTTTACCGAATTATAAAATTAATAAAAGCAGTTTATTATTTTAAGTATTTTATGGCGGTCCCTGGTTTGGTGTTTTCTTGTATGTGCTTTTAGTGCTTTTGAGGTAATGTTGCTCGATTTTGATCTGGTCCAGAAGCAAAAAATTGGTCGAAATTTGTTTTGACAGTACTTCCCGCGCTTCTGAAGTACAATGAAACATATACAGCATTTTCGAGTTGAGTTTTTCCTTTACACAATTTTGCGATGTCGTCATCAACATTTTTGCAAGGACACGTACATCAACCTAGATTTTTCGGGGTGGTGTCATCAATTTTTTAGGGGGGATGAGCAAATACATTTTGATCAAAAATTTACCATGCCTATGATAACTTTAAAATATCTCCAAGATTTCAAAGCATTCGGTTTTGCAGTTCCTGATTAAATCAATAAATTAAATTCACGCATTCATTAGTTTTTTGTGTCACCCTGTATATGCAAATCCAAAAATATGAATGAAATGATGACTCACAAGTACAGACTCATCATATTTTGTACATTTCAGATAGGATTTATTCAGCAAAATTTTGGGGTGACGTCATCAATTTTTTGGAGGGGATAAGTAAATATATTTTGATTAAAAATGTATCATGCTTATCATAACTGTAAACCATCTGCAAGATTTCAGAACATTCGGTTTTGCAGATTCCAAATTAATTTTTTTCATTAATTTGATTTTTTTTTTTCAAAAATCTGGATGCTTCGGGTAAAAACTCAATTCCGAAGTATAAACTACATATGCTATTTTATACAATTTAAAACCCATTTACTATGTACAATTCTGAACTGACATCATCACATTAGTGGTGGGGATGATTAGACAAATTTTGGTTAGCATTCAACCATCTACATCATATTTCTAATATACGTACAAAATTTGACAACAATCGCTGTCGCACAGACAGACAGACAGACAGACAGACAGACAGACAGACAGACAGACAGTCAGACGGAAACGGGAGACTACTTTTTCGTACTGTAGGAGTCATGAAACGTCGAGAAATGATAAAAGTGGCCATTCGTTCGATGAACTTGATTACTATATCTCATTAGTTTAGGCTCGGGAAGAAAAAAAAATTAGAGGTGTCTAAAAAAAAAAGGGACTTTGTAAGGTTTTTTGGGTACTTTAGAGATAATTTTTGCTCGATTTTGGGTGATTTTTAATGAGTTTTTGTATCCACCTCAAGTACCCAGAAATAAAAAGCAATTTTTGGAGGTCTTTAAACAAGGTATTATTTTCTATTTCTCTTCTACATTGTCTCAACATCTTGCACTCTGTTCTCTCACCCATTTTTTCTTCCTATTTTAATGCTATTTTTCCTGTTGCTAATCCTTTTAGGTTCTTCTCTTATTGTGTATGCTGGTGTGTCTATTTAGTTCTAATACCCACTTCAGGTTGTTAAACCTCAACATCATTCTCTTTGTGTCATATCCAAACTTCCTCGCACTTACACATCAAACAATACTGTATCCCTCATTAGCCTTTTTTTGGCCAATTGACTTAAGTGGCTTTTGAATTCCTTTACCATCCCTAAATTTTTTCTTCGATAAGCCTATTTTGTCTTACTCCTACATTTTTCTCAAATATCATTAATTTTTTCCTCTCCATATATCTTCCCAAGCACTTATCTTTCTTTCCTTTTTCGTCCTTTGCTATGATTGCCAGGTCAGAATACACCAGACACTACACTTTTTCTGGTCCCATCTGCCTTGTTACTTCTTTTCTACTGATTTTTTCTTTCTCCTGAGTTAGGCATGTTTGGCCTTTATCTTTGACTGTTTTCTCATTCGTTTCTAACCATTCCACAAAATATTTCCTCCATGGTTCAATCTTGATATCTTCTATAACTGCTGTATTTTCCTTTCTTTCATTATTAATGTAGGTCCTTTCGGTTCTAATCGCTCTTAGTCTGTCTTCTTCCTCCTTTTGCATCTGCCTTTTCGTTCTTTGCATTTTGCTCTGTACTCATTTCTTATTTTCAGATAATCGTTTCCAGTTTTGTTTTTTCTCCAATCCGTTAATGTTGTTCTCATAGTTTTCTTCAGTTATTTACAGTCCCTATCAAACCACTTATTTCTTCTTTCTCTTCTGTAATAGCTGTGTGCTTCTATTGCTTTATTCTCGCTTAGATTAAGTTTTTCCACCATCTCGTTTATGTGTCCTGTTGCCACAACATCTTTCCTCTTTAGCTTGTTTCGATATTGTATTATCCCTTCTTCACTCCAAAGTTGTTGTACACACATCTTCTTCACTTCTTTTTTCCTTTTTTCTTTCTTGCCCTTGTATATTAACTCCCAAAGGTAGATGATTGGATTCTGTGATATCCCCCACTGGAAACATTTATATTTTTCATAAAATCCCATCCGTTTTCTTCTACAAACTGTCTTAGTACTTTGCCCTCTTTATTTCCTCTCTTGCCTTTTGATGTTCTTTCTGTTTCTCTTTCTTCTTTGTTTATTTCTCCTTTTACCCATTTCTTGGTAATTCATTCTCACCTATGTTATAATTCGTCCTTTTGGTCTTCCTTTCTTTTTCACTTTTTCTCCCCCAAACACTCCCATACAAATTCTTTTGGGAGTTGTTCTTTTGTGTTCTTCCACACCTGATATGTCATCCATGTTTCTACCAGAACTACTACGTCAAATTCTCTTACGTATTTCCACAAAATTTTACTGTTCCTCTTAATTTTCATTAAATGTCAAAAGAAAATGTTTAGGTATACTTTTTCCTTTTCTCTTTTTTCTTATTTTTTGTGTTTTTTTTCCTTGGATCTTATTCCTTTTATTTTTAACTTTTTAATTAAAACACTTATAATGATTATTAGATTATTCTTAGAGTGAGGTTTGTCAAGATAAATCTTTATTATTACTTCTATTATTATTACTGTCATTCCATTTTCACGACTTTCGGAAATGTCACTCCTGTTAAAAAACTATAACTTGAAACGTGCATAACTAGTAGGTACATTTAAACTTGATACTATGATTTTAGGAATAGTTGAAGTATGTCTCGTGCAGAAAACTAAGCCAGAAAATTACTTTTAGTATTTAATTTGTATTTAACCTGAATTATTATTCCACAAACGGCCACTTTCCTCAACATAACAACTATTGTGCAAGTCCTCCAGATTCGCCACTCTTATTTGCAGTAACCCTTCGTTCTTATTTCCTCCATAAAAACGAAAAAGAAATATTAGTCTTTCTCACGATGCAATCTCCAGCCATCCTATCAGGCAGCAGCAACCCTTTCCGTTGCATTAACTACACATCGCATTAACCAAACCCCGAAAACAAGCATTACCAGGAAAACACCCTAAAAATCTCCGCAATGAATCTCATCATGTCGTATAGTCACAACGAACCGAATCTCGCAACGTGCCGTGTCGTCTAGCTCCATAAAAGTGGATTATCCTATCCCTTTGAATACTTCAATATTCGTCACGCACCGTCGGAAATACCCGTATAAAGCTAGTAAAAATCACCCCCGCCTCCACGTTGACGCTTAATTTAGTGTCGAGAAAGTAGCAGTGACGAATCATCCCCCACCTGTCACCCCTCCTATGAATATTCATGCTGAGGCCTTTCAGTTACAGTCTCCTGGCTTTGAGTGTTTTTAAGTGTCTATCTAAATCATACCGGAAAAATGCCGACATGGAGGGGGAGGTTCAACAAACCGTATTTATTTTCGATTTTTAAATTTTCAGCTTTGGTGACGATGTTGTTTGGTGCTGATCAAATTAATGTTGGCATGTGGCCAAGGTTCTGTTTAGGTGTAAGGGGATCTACTTTTACATATTCTAGGAGCTGTGAAACGTCGAGGCAACTTGAAATTAGCCATTCGTCAAATTGACGCTATTATAGTATTAATTATAACGAACACATGATATAAATAAAACTAGGAAAACTTGGAAATGATATATTTTTGTTCTAAATTACGATTAAATCTTGAAAAATTGGATTTAAAGATAGAATTTTTTAGTGCTTGCGTTTCATCTCTGCTGGTTATTCACGCATAAATTTCAAAGGAGTTCTGGGGTTGGTAAAATCAATGACAAGATCCTTTAATCCACTAAACTCACTAAAAGAAAATTGTAATTAGCGTGTAAAATGAAAGTTGGTACGACGAAAAATACAATATTTCGTAAGAATTAAAGATTTTGTAATTATTTTTAAGTAAATAATCTGGAAAATGTGGACATCAAAGTTTACGATTTGGTATGAGCTCGAATAGCGAGTGAGACGTTGTATATAAATACATATACACTGAGTAATACTTTTCTCTTGACGATTGTGCTACAAAGGAGGAAAATAGTGCGGTTTATTTAAATTTACCTATTATTGTCGTATGTATCAAAACCGAATTAATACCGTATGTATACGATTAGATAAATTTTTAAATTGTGGTAGTTATTTATCAATAAGATTATGTTTGTGGAATTTTCTGGCGGTGCAATACTTACATGTGGTCAATTTCTGCCGTCTCGAACAATTTCCTAGCACCTTGGCTCTCAGTATCCTCCTCATACCTGTCAGTAAAATACACCACCTTTTTAATTCCACTTTGTATAATCAATTTTGCACACTCGTAACAAGGAAACAGAGTGGTGTAAACAGTGCCTCCTTCCACACCTCCTTTGCTGCTTATAATAGCATTTAGTACAGCATGACAAACTATTAAATACGTAGAGATATACTTTTCTAAATTACGAAAAGTTAGTGATAGCTACCGTAAGGATATTTCGTGTACAAAACTGTTTCATGATCACGGTGTTTGTGGTTCCTAGACCAAGGAAGCGACTCACACCCATTAGGCATCTTGTTATAGCCCGAACCCAAAATGGACCCTTTAACATCGACAACACAAGCTCCTACTTGAGTGTTTGGGTCCTTACTTTGTTGAGCGACTATCAAGCAATGTGCCATGAAACATTCATCGGAGCTTAGCAGTGCTGATTCAGGCCTGTAGCAGAAATAATGGTTTTCTTAAGGATAAGTTTGGAAGTTTACGTACCGAGCTTCTTCTGATTCGCTAGCCATCATGAGGCTTTGGGAAAATTAAATATTGGGAAAAATAGCTTCTATAGAATTTATACAGATTTATCAGACCTTATCGTAGCCCACTCCACAAAAAATTGTAATAACTAGATAAATTAATGGATTAGCTAATCACACTTATTATCCGTTCACGATTTTTATGTAGTAGGGTTGGCCATTAAAATCTAGTGAGTTTGTTGGTATTCGATGCAGAAGAATACACATTTCCTGAACTTTTTTCGTTATGTTTTATTAAATTAAAGGTTAAAAAATATGCCAGAAATATAAACATTGTTGCCGATACTTTCAGTTTTCAGTAGCAATGACCATCACTCGTCTATTAAATATCTTTTTTTCTATTGTTTCTGAAGGATTTAATTAAATCTCACAACTGTTTCTTCGAAAATTTGTTGTCAAATTCAACACGATGTGTAAAGAGCCATTCCTGCATTTCACATTTTTTACTAGAAAAAGTGGGTGGTTTATCCAACTGAACCGAATGATACGGTACATTGTCTAAAACCACCACACATTTTTGGTTCAACTTTGCCAAAGCCGGAATGAGCTGATTAACCACCCAATTTTGAAAAATTGTCCCGTCCATCGTTTTATGATAGTCTGTATCGTTATTTTTTTAATTTAAAAAATTGTTACAACCATCTAAGGGCCCCATTGAACAACCCGCGTGGAGAATAGTAAACCTTGATCCTTCACTTTTAATTTTTTTTTAATGTGAGCGTAGTACGTAGAGTTCTAGTCTCAAGTGTTTCGTGCGAGGCCTTTTACCTGCCCAGAATTAATAAGGACTACAATTTTCTATAGATAATTTTGCTGTTCTGTTGACTTATTAAATTCTTTCAATTTCGGAATCACAGCATGGACACCCACCCGTGCCTCGGCCAAAAGTTTAAGTATTGATAACATTGTAACCAAACTAAGCGTTGACTATTGTGTGGAAACTGTAAATCCACTCTTTTCTAACCATTCTGGCATTTTCATGAAATTTAATAACTCAAATTGTAAAAATTCAAATAACTTTACTTTTTTTACTGCAAGGCCGATAACTTCAAGTAAACTTGAACTATTTTACAACAACCTCTTATCTCACGACTTTCAAGATCTGTACATCATGAGTTGCCCATTTAAAGCCTTAAACTCTTTTTATAATGTTATATTAAATCAATTTTACAAACATTTTCATCAGTCCATTATTAAAAAAAAAACATGTAGAGTCAAAGTGAAAAACAATTTGCAGGCTTTAGATATTGTTAGACAATATGATACGTCTTCTGACGTTGAAAATGTTTTTAAACTTTTGAAAACCCAACGTAGAAGGGAATTACTGTTTGCAAAAAAGTCAGTAAATAGTGAATACGTTGATAATAATTACAACTGGGAAACAATATAAGGGACGCACTTCCGTCTCTAAATCCTTTAATAAATTTCTTGTCGATATTGTTACGAAAGAAACCCATACGCCGCCCCGGTACGACGCCTATGGGAAGTCGCGATGGACAACCCAGAAAAACCTCGAAGCGGCGTTCTCGATCCATCGAGAGGAACGTATAGGTTTAAATAGAGGCCAGCGCCGGGAACTAGGATTAATCAGTCGTGTAAATTCGAGTTATTAAGAAAAAATAAATTGTTGAGTTTTACCCATGTCGATTTTAAACACCCGTTCAACGTATCAATATTATTAGCTGAGGTTATCAAATATGTTAAAAATATCATAGCAAAATCAATAGCCAAATTTATGTATTAGGCATGGAACATTTCCTGTTGTTCTTAAAAAAGCCAAAATTATACCCATTTTTAAAAAGGGCGACAAACAAGATCTAAATAACTATCGCCCCATCTCTGTTCTTCTTGTGATTTCGAAAAATTTTGAACAAATTATTAAAGTAAAATTAGTTAACTAAACAACTTTTTTTCAAAATCACAATTTGGATTCAGGAAAAATAAAAATATTATTCTATCCTATTGGATTTTGTAGAAAATGTTTTTGACTGCTTTGACAATAAACTTTCTGAGTCTGCAACGTTTTTCGACCTCTCGATAGCGTTCGATTGTGTAATTTGTGCTTATTTTTGTCGTCGTTACTTTTATTGCGACACTCGTTGTAATTATTCAAATAATCGTAAGTTTGTGTATAATCTGTACAAAATGTCCAACTGTACTTACTGTGGAAAAAAGGGAAGAAACAATGATTGCGTAACATGCGATATATGTCGAAAACTGGTCCACACTGACTGTTCTGGTTTAAGTAGAATGGAAATTGAGTGCATTCGATCAAATTCGAGAAAAATCCACTACTACTGTGATAAGTGTGACATTGTAGCAACAATTAATAAATTAAAAAGTGAATTGGATGTGCTAAAATCTGAACTGGAGGTAATGAAAAACAACCAAGGAAATGTCGCTCGTTCTGATAATGACAACTTATCCGCTGAAGAACTAATCACAGAGGTCGAGGAAAGAAATCGGAGGGCTTACAATTTAATTCTTTTTAATTTATCTGAATCGGATGAAGAGACTGATGTCAAACGTAATGAGAATGATACATCCCGAGCTGGTCAAACCATATTCTCTGGTGAACATGAAAAAATTAAAATTATGTCGTGTTGTCGGTTAGGAAAGTATAACAATGAAAAAATTCGTCCTCTTAGAATATCATTTGAGAATCCTCAATATGCAACAGAAACATTACGAAAGTATATCCGCAAAGAAAAATTGTATCTCAACAGAGATTTAACTAGACGTCAGCAGAATCAATGTTATATGATAAGGACTGAGTTTAAAAATCGCAGAGAACAGGGTGAAGATGATATAATTTTAAAATATTCAAATGGAATACCAAAGATCCAAAAGGTGGAGAAAAAAAACTCGTAGAAATCCAACAGACTACCAACAACATCCTACAAAAATCAAATTATAATTTTAACGTTTTTTACCAAAATGTGAGGGGTTTAAATACGAAAGTAAGTGGTTTTTATACTAATATATGTGCATCTGATGACGACATTATAGTTCTAACTGAAACCTGGCTAAATAGCAATGTTCTAAGTTCTGAATTATTTCCAAGCACTTTTAATGTCTTTAGGAATGATAGAAGATGTGGAAGGGGAGGAGGTGTCCTAATCGCAGTAAGTGATAAATACCCAGCTCAAAAATTAGATATAACATCTCCCATACCTCAAATTGAAATAACTGCTGCCAGAATTTGCATTAAGGCCACTATGATAACTATTGTAGCCATTTATATTCCACCTTCACATTCAGTTGCGAATTATGTTCAAATATTTGAAGTTTTAGAGAATAAGATAGATTTTTCGAACCCTTCACTTATTTTGGGGGATCTGAACATCTCAGAACTCACTGAATGTATGAGTAAAAATAGTACAACACATTTGTTCAATACTTATGCTAATTTTATTTCCTTGAACAACAAGATACTAGATGTGGTATTGTCAACTGATCACTTCAGTGTTAATTGTAAATCAAGTCAACTTCCATTAGTACCAGAGGACTTACATCACCCATCGCTAGATGTGTCTATATCATACATTTCCTATGAAGCTATCAATTTCCATCAAAGTTCAGATGCAGTAAAATTTAATTTTTATAAAGCCAACCTGCCGGACTTGTATGCAGCGCTAACATCAGTTAATTGGTCACAGCTTGAAAACATTAAAGAAGTAGATACTGCAACTGACTATTTTTATTCAGTAATATACAATTTATTTGATCAATATGTACCCACAACAGCCTATAACTCTAAACGTGCCAAGTACCCCATATGGTTTACAAGTTCTATTATTAATAAAGTAACAGAAAAAAGAAAGCAGTGGAATTTATACCGTAAAACGAAAAATTTACTACATTTAGACAAAGTCAAAATTCTTAGGAAGGAAATAAGAAGGCAAAGCCGCACGGAATATATAAGATTTGTTGAAACCAGCGAAAACTCCATCAAACATGATGCTAAAAAGTTTTGGTCCTTTGTAAAAGCCAAACGAAAATCGCCTACAATACCAGCAGAATTGTCTTTTGGTGATAGTATTGTGTCAACTCCCGAGGATATTGTCAACGCTTTTGCGACTAATTTTGCGAGTGTTTACTGTGATAATAGTGTATTTGCCTGTGATATAAATAATAGCTGTGATAATAATCTTAATGCTTGTGATATTTGTGGTAATGATAATTGCACGTCTCTTAAACTGGAAAACATCTGTGATATCAGTGCTGTGCTACATTCTTTCTCTATCAATGATGCTGACATCTTAAAAGCTGTGATGAAACTTAAACCCAACTTAGTATCTGGTCCTGACAATGTACCTGCGTTTTTTGTTGTAGACTGTATCCGTTGTTTATTAGTTCCACTATGTTATATTTTTAATTTAGTGTTAAAATCGTGCAAATATCCGTTCATGTGGAAATTATCAAAAATATATCCTGTTTTTAAAGCAGGAGATAAGTCAAATATCCAAAACTTTAGGCCCATAGCACTATTATCAAACTTTGCAAAACTATTTGAATGTATCTTATCCAACAATATATATTCTCATGTTATAAACTATATAGTACCAGAACAACATGGTTTTGTCAAAGGAAGATCGACTGTCACAAATCTATATGAATTTACTCAGTTTGTGTCTACTGCTTTAGATGATGGTTTGCAGGTAGATGTGCTATACACGGATTTGACGAAAGCGTTTGATCGTGTAAACCATTGTGTTCTGTTTAAAAAACTTGAAATGTATGGATTTTGTGATAATATATTGCTCTTATTAAAATCAATGATTATGGGAAGAAGGCAGTTTGTCGAGTACGGTGGATTTAAGTCTTTTGAGTTTATTGTAAATAGTGGGGTTGTTCAAGGCTCTAACTTAGGTCCTTTGCTGTTTGTAATTTTCTTCAATGATGTTGTAAAACATCTTAACTGCAAATGTTTCATATACGCAGACGACTTAAAGATAGTTAACATCATAAGATCTAATAATGATTGCTTAAAGCTGCAGGGCAATTTAGATAATTTTATTACTTGGAGTTGTATTAATAAACTAGAAATTAATAAAGA